CTATCCGTCACGCAATTCAGATCACTCATCGAATCTCCGAAGAAACCAAGCAGAAACTCCCTGTTCCTCCGCGATCTACCAACTGCAATCTCCGTAGATCCATGTCCCATACTCAACCACATTACTATGCTACGAGTATATCTAACATGGGGTATTAGACACATTTCCCCCCCCACCCGGCATAACCGTAGTTTAGTTTACCCCACCGGCTGTGGTCCCCACCGGCCGTGGTACCACCTGAACGGAACCGGTGGGTCTAACGATGGGTCATATGGTAGCCCTACAGCGAAGCAACACATTTGATCATGTCCTGTGTCGACTGAAGTCTTGTGTATTAACATTCCGCTGGGGAGGGGTAAAAGCAAGGCTTTGCCCCACCAGTGAGAAGGCAGAGTTCGGTTTCTACTGTCAAGCTGTGGGTAGGAATGCTTTCATGTGCTGGTCGCCTCATCTGCTGCCCGCTGCTGTGTGCTGTACGTGCACGTTCCAGACGCTCGTACCGGTGTTTGTGTGTCGACGGAAGCCTTGAAGGGCTACATACAGCAGTGGGATCGTGTAGCTGAAGGAAGTCTGCCTCAAGAAGAGAAGAAGGCAGCGTTCGGTTCCCATTGGGTGCCTGTAAAACTGTGGGCAGGAATACTTGATGTGCTGGTCGCTTCACCTGCTGCCCGCTGCAATGCGCTGTACGCACATGTTTCACACACTTCTACCGGTGTTCGTCAGTCGATTGGTGCCTTGTGGGCGGAGATACAGACCGGGGGGGATTTAGGCACTAATCCCCCTCCGGGGGGCATGTTGGGACAACAGATATGTTTTGCCCATCAGCCATGGCTGCACCAAACCTGCACCGTTTCCGCTGTACGAGGTATCTCGCGAAAGCCCTACATCACAGCAACACAGCCGTGCGTGCCCTGGCTCGATTGGTGCCTCGTAGGCGGAGATACAGACGGGGGGGGAATTAGACACGCCGGAAAAATATTGGTTTGGATCGATCCTTCCGTCCTTGTCTAAAAATAATCTCCCGGATCCACCGCCGGGCCCACCTCCGCCATGTACACCTCCTCCAGCTGCCCACCCAGCTTGACCGCCTGCTGCATTCCCAGCACTCTCTAAGGCGGCGATCTTATCCATCGCTAGTTGGACTTTCTTCCTCGATTCCTCCACCGCCCTCGCCGCGGCTGCTTCCCTCTCCGCAGCTGCTGCCTTCTCTGCAGCATACGCATCCGACATCGGTTGAACTTATTCGATTAATTTATCGTGTTTGTGTAGCCCCGTGACCACCCACGGAGGTTGCCGTGCCCACCCACGGAGGATACCGTGCCCACCCACGGTATGATGTCTGTCTGGGGACTATGTTAACCCAGAAAACCGATGCAGATGATATATATCCTTGATTAACACAGACGTGCCCTTCCAGCACAACATACACGGTATCTCTCACAGACACAGTGGACACATGCGTGGGCTCTGACGAGGGGCCCCGCACTTGATCCCCCTCACACATAATATATATTCTCTGCAGATCGAATCTTGTATCCAAAACCCCCAAACATCGCTTCATATGAATAACAGCAGTGTCAAACGCTTCGTCGCATCACTTTCACTCAATGTGCGTGAACGTGAGTTGTGGAGTAGACAGAGGCAGCACGCGATCACTTCAGACGAAGAACGGTAACTGGCCAACCCTCTTGTGTCGGTAATTTATACTCTGCAGAAGATGGTTCAACGTCAGTTGTGCGGAAGACGGAGGCAGGATGTGGTCACTTCAGATGAAGGACGGTAGCTGCCAAGCGCTTATGTCCCTCTATGTTCACTCTGAGGTAGGTGCTTAAACGTTGGTTGTGCGGCAGAAAGAGGCACGACGTGGTCACTTCATATGAAGAACCGTAACTGCCCAACGCTCTTGT